ATTAAAAATAATTTTTCAATATTAAAAATAATTAAATATTTATTTTTAAAATTATTTAATTTAACAAATTATTATAAATTAATCTAATTATGATTATTAATAGAACAATTTTTTCCTAACATATATTATTATAAATTAATCAAAATCATCTTTTAATAATTATTTTTTCCATACATAGATTAATTTATAATAATTTGTTAAATTAAATAATTTTAAAAAATAATTTTGAAAATAAATATTTAATTATTTTTAATAATGAAAAAATTATTTTAATATAAGAATTTTAATTAAATAATAGAAGAAAAAAAGCTAAAAAGAATAAATAAAAATAAAATAAAAATAAATAAAGAAAACAATTATTTTATATCATTATATCAATAAATTATAAATATTATATTCTATCATTAAATTATAAATCCATATAAAGATACTCGCTCACAAATTTGACTTCAAATTTTGAAAACTCACTCGACACACACTTTCACCCTCCGGCGTGACCTCGACATCAAACATATAAATATATAAATATATCAAAATATATAAATATATTTGTATTTATATATTTTATATTTATATGTTTACACGGATATACATTTATTTGTATATAAATATAATTTATTTGTAAATTTTTATTAAAAAATTCTAACAGATTTAGTGGTTGGTGTATTAGTATCTAACTTTGTTAATAAGAGAAATTATATATTTTTGTGGTAAGACGATGAGATTTTTAGGTTAAACTAAAATTAGGGCAACTAAGTTGTTGTTATGGACTAAAACCCAAAAAGTAAAAAATAAAAAATATAATTAAATAAAAGAAAAAATATATACTTTTCATTTTTATTTTCAAATATTAGTTTTTTTATGAAATTATTTTTAATTAAAATAATTAAAGTGATATATATAATTTTTTTTATTTTAATTTATTAATATTATCATATTTTAGCTTCATGATTAAAAAAATACCAATAATTTAAATTTTATTAATTCTATAATTTTATATAATTATTATTATAAATTTAATTCTCCAATAACTAATAATATTAACACATTTATTAAATTAAAATTCTTTATTTTAATTAATTATTTTGATTTTTTTAACAATTTTTTTAAATAAAAACGATAAAACTTAAAATTAATTTCTAACTAAATCTTCACCGATGGTTAATAGTATATTATATTATTATGTTTAATTAAATTTTAAAATAAGTTCACTTAATTTTTACACTTAAAATATTTATCCAATTATTAAATTATTTAAGATATTAATATAAATTTGAAATATCAATTCAATAATTAAAATAATTTTAACTTTTTTATAAATACATTGAAATACAATTTTATTAACATAAAAATAATATATATATATATATATATATATATATATATATATATATATATCAAAAAGAGACTAAATTAATAATTATTTTAATGATCGATTTAGGGATCGAATCAGTGACCGATTCGGTGACTAATTTAATAATTAATTTAATTTTTTTTATTCACATACTAAATTAAAAAAGAAAATCAAATAATTATATTACTAAATTATTTAATAAGTTAATAAATTATTTTTTAAAATTTTTATAATGTTATTAAAAATTTTATTATTTTAAATTATTAAGTAGATTTATATTTAATATATTATTAAAATATTTTTTAAAAATACTTATATAAATAAAAAATGGTCACTAATTTATAAATTATTTGTTTAGTGATCGAAATTTTAGTCACTAAATCGAGTCACTAAATATAAAAAGAGAAATCATATTCGAGTTACTATTAGTAACTCGAATTTTTCGATCACTAATTTCGATAACTATTAACCATTTTTCTAGTAGTGACCGAATCGATTCATCGATTTGGTGACCGAATCGATGACCGATTTCCGTGACTGAAATTTTAGTCACTAAATCAGTCACTAAATATAAAACGGGTAATCAGTCACTGATTCAGTTACTATCAGTGACTGAATTATTCAGTCACTATTAACCATTTTTCTAGTAGTATCTTTAGCTCGAACGACCTTCAATGCGTTCAGCTGGACATTTGAATACTCATATGTGTTCGCCGGTTTCTCATACCCATTCTCGACCACATCCCGTTATCTTAGGAGCCGAGAAGAGCCTTCATTTGTACCTTTCAGTTGTCATAGTTGGCGCCTTTCGTCAACTTGGGTAGCAAGATGTCATTGATTAGACCTGTCATTTCCTCTCAAGTGTTTGCACTCAACTCACACACCTCACAAAGCTCTGAGTCGCACCTCTCTCTTTCTCAACCAACACACACTACGACATTCTCTCTTGAGGCTTGATAGGTTCTCTCATGTTCACCTCACACACAAGCTCTGATGTCAATTTGTTGGTAACAGGAAAACAAAACAACACTCAATATTTCCTTTGATGTTATTCCAAATGAGTTGTTACAAGTATTTATGGCCAAAATATTTGTCTCTTCAAATACCAAAAGTAAATCATAATACCTATTAAATAAGTTTACAACCCGTTGGTTATAACACTCGTAATTAAAACCATTAATACTCGTAATTAAAACCATTAATATTATTTTAAGAATACTAAACGTCTAATTTAAGTTCTTCAATAGTTAATATCTTATATTTTCCCTCAGTACATCTTTCTTCTTTGTGATTTCTTTTGCGTTAATGACCAAACCCAAAGGTTTCTTCTATCAACCAAATCAATTTCAAAACTAACGATGCCAACTTCAAAATCAAACCGGATTTTAATATGCTGGGAAGGAACAAATCGGAACATGGAGAATGGGATTTGACAAAGGAATAAGACACGTTTAAGGAGTTTCAGAATTGTTATTCTAACACAAATTCAGTTGATTTTCATTTTAATTTTATTAACCAAACTCACGTAATGTTTGAATGTGCGACCATTCTCAGGTTGACCAAACGAGCAAAATCCAGTAAAACTCAGCAGTAGAAGAAGGTTTCTACTTTCAAGCGAACAAAACACCCAGCCTATACAAAAATAGTGAATGTGGTGAGAAGAAAAAACAAACACTAGAGATGAAAATCGTCTTCAGTGGCGACAAGTGGTGTGGTCAAAGAAATTATTGGGAGAAAGTTGGGGGAATTTGGTATGGGCTAACTAACATATACCACGGTTAATCTAAGAAACCCGTGGATTACCTATCATGCTAGTCCACTCTATTCTTTCTCATCCCTCTCCTTCTATATATATGATACAAATGATTGATAAAATTTAGAGTGTCTTATCCTATGGATTTTTTTAATAGTATTTCCTCTTTATGTAATGTGACAAGTTTTTGTGTGAAAGAGTGACAATACCTATATGAGTAAATCTAAACAAAATAGTTACTTCCAACAAAATACAAAATAAACGTGCATTTTTATGGCAAGTTTTGTTAGATAGGACACGAACCTCATGATATATTGTATGTGGTTCATCCCGAGGATTGTGATCACTTGATTTTTCTTGTCCTTGATCTATTGTTGTTTAGTATTCAGTTTGATGACTCATTTGTTCATGGAAACATCTTTGAACTTTGAGTTTCTTTGTGTAGCATCTGGTTTGTGGTATTTGTGGCTTTTGCGGAATGACAATTCTTGATTACGTGAGAATTTTTTTTACAATGTTGTGTGTTGTTCTGTATTCATATGTGTATGAGTGTTACTACCTTATGTATACGCGAGTTTGAATACATCATATATTTTCTTTTGATAAATATCTTGCTGGCTAAAAAAGGAAAACACTTACAGTAACACATCTATGTAGCTGTCCATATAAACTAATTAAAACCACGATTTACTGATTTTTGAAATAACCAGTACAATTTTTTTATTTTTATTTTTAAATAACCATAACAAATGTTTGTTGCATTCTGAAAAGCTGTCCCCACCATATTTATAGGTTTAAATGAAGTAGTTGCTCATAGCCATGACACTCGTCCTTGTATTCTGTTTTATCCTTTGATTAAGATTTATCGTCTCTTTCTAGGTAGTAATACTTTATCCTTTGATTTTCATGTTGACTTCTTTGAAAGACACCGCTTAAGCTTTATTCTGAGATACCGTATGCAGAAGGTGTTAGTACTCTGAACTTCTGTTTTCTTGATCAGTTTTCTTTAAAGTACATAGTACCATATAATGTGATTAATATCTAAATATTCCCTAATATGCAGACCAATTTCCTCTTGAATTTTCTTGCTTTGTGCAGCAATTTTAGAGATACGTTATTTTCATGTGTCACCTTTTAGTGACTGGCGGGGAAAGTCACAATCACGGCCATGAGACAATAACCTATGGTAGGTCGTTGCGCTGGCGACCGCGCATGAACAATTGCCTTTCGTTTTATGTCATCTCATGGAATAACAACACAGACAAAAGGCTGAATAGTAGGACAATAAGACATAACGTATGACACTTGATTAAAGGTTTGCATGTGTTCTTTAAGGTATAGTTTGGATGACAAGTTTTTTATTTGTAACTCAAGAGATTTATGTAATGGTTTGTAAAAATAAATTAAAATATTAAGGCTTTATTAAACTTACGTTAATGTATTACTTTGTTTTTAATTTTATAAAGATAGAGAATATTTATGATTTTTTCCGTCCCTCTAATTAAAATCCAACTCCTTTAACATAATCTAAGTAGAAAAATTCTTACTTAAGTGTTAAAGATCTGCATAATATGTGCATTTTCTCTTAGTTCTCAAGCTATTCATTATCAATTAAAGGAGAGCTCTTATATTATATATTATACCCTTAGAAAGCCACTCATGTTAGACCGTTTCATGGAATATATAAACTGAACAAACTAAAGGGAAAATTTAAGGGTTACCTATAACTGAAAGAAAATATAAGGAAATCCGAACACGAATTCAAAAACGCAATGATTATTCAAACCCGCCGTAACGTGGAGTATCTTGTAATTGAAGAAGCTTTCTCACAGTACTCTTCATGATCCATGCATATTGTGAGAGGAGGAGAAGATAAACTTTGTATTTTGTGTGTCACTTGGAAGGGAAATCTTGCTCTTTGTGGGATGGGCTTTTGCTGCTCTTGGGTGAATGGAGAGGTTTATGAGACATCATAGCCAAACTGAAAGAATGATTGAGAGAATTTGCGAATGGGTTTTGAGAACCTGAACTTAACATCTGATAGTCCATTGCTGTAAAATGTGAAGGAAAATATGGCTGTGCTGCTCCTGGAGGACATAGCATAATTTGAGAATTCCCGGTAGATAAAGACAACGTTGATGTTGGGAAAGGTACAACGTTAATGCTATGTATGTCTGTTTGGTTTGAAAATCCATTGTTTGCCAACTGATGAGAAACATCACCAGCTGAAGGTTCCCATTGGTAAGCATGTGGCATAGTATTTAGCAGGCCCAAGAATGAAGGATTGTTTGCCCTTGGAAAGAGATTATTTGGTATAACATGTGTGCTAGGACCTTCATTATTGCTTCCTTGCTTATCATCTTCACTTCTATTTATCCAGTTTGCTTTGTCAATGCTAATAATTTCTCCTGAAACTTCTTTAGGCTTCAATTTCCATGCAGAATTTTGGTTTGAACCTTGCCACTGAATGCTGCTATTGGTATTCAGAAGTTGTTCATGAGGCTGGGAGTGAGAGGTTGTAGCTTCATTAGAAGTAACAGCAGAGGGATAACCAAGGTTGAAGTTATTCACTGAAGGAATAATTGGCAGTGGTGGAAGTTCATCAATTTCATGCTTCGCTGCATTGAGCAACCAATCAACAACCTTGCTTGGTTGACTGAGCCCTAGCCTATCTTGAAGATCATAGAGTTGGATAGCAGTTGGTACTGATAATCTCACCCGTCTGTCTCTTAACCCTCTTATTGTGCAAACCTTGCTATGCCTGTCTTTTCCTCCAAAGGCTCTAGATACTCGAACAATCCTTGGATCCTTCAATCTTGGCCATTGTGCTGCTGAGCTTGATGAAGCCTTTGCTTTTTCAGGATCACTAATTGATTGAGAATGACCACCCTCCTGTTTTAACGGAAAATCCACTTCTTTTGGGCTCTTAATCATGATCTTATGTATCTCATTTTTGGTTGCCAGGTGCAGAGTTTTGTCCTTCCACTTTATGCTTGTCAAAATTCTGTTCCACGGTACCATCAACGATGAAACTGCTAAATTTTAAGTCTAGCGTGCGGATTTACGGGTTGTCTCTAGATCCTAGGAATCTGCATAGAACAACACATGAAATAAAATAATAGGAAATAGGAGGAAGATGATTCTTCATGAAATTTACTCATATATAAATAAATGTAAAATCCATATTGTAAGTAGATGCATGAAGAACAGATGACTTCATGACAGAGATCGCTGAGTTGCAGAAAGTAATGGATGTTATTATTAAATAATAGCATATAGTTCAATATGTGATTTTGAGGGGATTAAAGAATATTTATATAAAATACAGAAAAGATTCAATGTCAAATGCAGTTATATATTAAAAAACTCTAAAATCATTAAGAAATTAGAAGCACGGGTATCTATCTATCATATATACATAAAGAAAACTGCAGTAAAAGGCTGCATCAGAGTCAGGAAGGGTGTAATTAAACTTACAGGAACAATAATAATAATAATAATATTATGCAATATTCAATTAAGTTCACATGCTCAACATGCAATTAGGCTTGAATATTAAACTTTAATTTATACGAACCCTAGTTGTAGTGGATCGTGTCTGGCAAACTCACATGAACACGTGCCTCTTCTCATACCAGGCAAGCACCACAAGGTAGAAGGATGAAGTTTGCGCTGTGTTTTTGCATACCAAGCTAGAACAAATTGTGTGTTTTGAATTGAGCTTGACTTGGCGTTGATTGCACATAATAAACTTAGTGTAGAAGTTGGAGTCCGCAGCTTGGAAAAGGAAGATGCCGGAATTCAACTAACCACGCCACGCTGAAAGATAAAGCAATGGCGCATAGTTTGCCACGTGGCACAATCCCAATTGGTCAAATAAGTATGGTAGTCTTTGTCTTATCATTTTTTGGTCAGGCATAATGGCAATCATTTCCTTTATTATAGTACTTATATATGGATCATTATATATCCTCATATTTTGTTCTCACAAACCTTGATTACTTATTGTTGGCAAATTAAACTACTTCGTCAAACATTAACCATAACATTATAACAAATTACTTCAATATTTTTTGGTAGCTAAAAGTGTTCAAGGTAGGTTTTGTAACTTTGTTATAAAAGGAAAGAGGCCAGAAGATTTTTCTCTATATTTGTTTGGGTCTTAATTTAACAAAAATTTACTTGCATTAGTCAAGAGGCTTATTCTAATGAACACCATTAATAATCTCAGAAGGGGACCATTGCTACACGCTTCTAAAACGGCTGGTTACACTTTATCGACAACTACAAAAGGTTTTGTGACTGAGCACATCACATGGGGATCCACGGAAGTATATTGCAACCCAAAACAGCATCAACAAAAACGTTTTTCTTATTAAGGGCAAAAAAGCCTTGTTAACTACTATCTGCATTTCTTAGTATATATATTAATATATAAGAAGTTTTCTACAAACGTATCTGAGAATCTTCAACATATGAAAAGTTTCAAAGGACATGACAGCATCAAAATCATTGATCAATCAAATTTTGGACAACCCAATTGCAAAACAATCCCAAGTTTTGTTTTACCAAGAGTCGTCAGTTATACACGAATGAAACAAAAGAAGATAAATTCTTAATAAATTAGATCAAAAGAGATTTTGGATTCACCAAAAAAAGTCATAATTATTTTTGTATAAACAAATTATTGATATATATATATATATATATATATATATATATATATATGTGTGTGTGTGTGTGTGTGTGTGTGTGTGTGGCATCCTTAATGATTTCACTTTATCAGTTTTCTTAGGCTAAATTCATCTGTTTTCTTCTACAGTAATTATATACTGGATATGGGATCTTCATACTTCCTGGCTCAGAAATGAAAAGAAAATATAAAAAGGAAACAAATGGAGATAAAACAGAAACAATAAGGGCATCGCATGGGGAGGATTTAGAAGACAAACAGAGAAATCCACTTTGGATGAGTACGTAATGGCGAGACTTAAAAGTTGTGGTGCCTTGTCCAAGGGCATTGTCATGTCTATGTGTATGATAGCTACTTCGGAGAAGGGAAAGGTACTGGTAAGTGAGGGACCAATTATGTTATGATATCTTTTGAAACGTACACCCACTGAGCACAAACAGGACCACACAACTTTTGCAGAGAGATATGCATGGGAGGCAAGTTGAGGCTTTTCATTGAGCTGACACTGACACGGTTATTAACCCTATGGCGCATGCTTTCATCAAAAGAAAGTCAATAATCATATCTGAGATGCAGAAACGTAAGCCAAGTTTCTTCTCTTCTTCATTTGGCGAAGACTGCAAATATATTCTTTCACCTTTCGAATTGGATTAGCCTTCAATTCAAAACCCTAAATTTCCCCCCACATAAAGCCATTTCTGATCCAGTATCATTCACCAGAATTTTCTTAGTCATTGTTTAACGTGGACAAATTCCCCCTAACAGACAAGGAGAAACTCTGAAAAATGCAGCGACCAACATGTTAATCAAACTCAATGGTTCATAAATATGGTTGTGGAGAAGTTCTTAAATACCCTAAACAAATATCTTCTAGTTTGCATAACTTTGACATGTAAAAGCCTGAAAAAATAAAAAAGCAGACTATATTCCTAAAGATACAATGTTCTTTAATTTCCACGGAAAAAGAAGTGGACCTACTTTTAATTCTACAAAAAGAACAAGTTGGCTCCAATTTCTTTTCATCAGATATACATTAAATAAATAAAAAAGGCATCATGGTTCTAGTGATTTATCTGAAAGAGATGGATGCATTAACAAACCTGAAATGCTCAGTAACTATAGCCATTGAAGGCTTATGTAATTGCATAGTCACTAATTCTAAACATTTCAAAACAGCAGTTATGAATTTGCTTCGTTGAATCTATTGAAATCCTCTAAGAGGTAGGGAGTATAGAAGACTATCGATACAGTTTGCAGCTATAAGAAGTTCATTCTGCACACCATCTATATATATATGTATGTATCTATCTATCTATATATATATATGTATGTATATATCTATATATATATATATATATATATATGTATGGATAGTTTCCATTTGAAAACACAAAATATGGCAAAGAAAAGGGATATGAAGTAAGAAGAAAACGACCAAGAGAATAAGAACGAAAGGATGAAGGTGAAAGAAAAAAAGGAAGAAGAACGAATTGCTACTTCTTTCTGAAAGGAGAAAGGAAAATGATTATACATACATTCTTTAAACTGTAACAGAGGGTTCCTCTCTGTCATCCGTGAAGACATCTGAGTCTATAAGAGACTATGAACAATCAGTGTCTGGCATCTGTAGAGTGTTTTATCTGGAAAAAAAAAAATGATAGACATACTAATAACTGGTTTCTAGGTAAGGGTAACAATATGGTCCAAAAATTGGTCCCCAGATTCGTAACAGAACCCTAGGTCAGACTCAGAGCTCGTGACTAATCACTCACTTTTGTGAATAGCCAGAATGCATCAGAAGCAGAAGCAGCAGTACTGTCATCTATAACATTATCTTTCGTCTTTGTCAAAGTCTTAGCTTCAATTTTGCATGTCCTTCTAAGCTCACAAAAATTAAATGAAATTTAGTGGAATTTTTTTGTGATTCGTGTTGCAATATAGCTATCAAGGTTTTAAAAAATATGCGACTGTAATATATCATTTGAAATCTCAAAAACCGAGCACTTCTATAACTGCATAGAAACAACAAAATCTTACCCACAACTACAGTTTAAACCGCGGTAACTACTATGAAAATGATGGATCACAAACATATCTATCTGTACACTGAGAAAGAAGTATGGATGTGATATGCAGGTGATAGGATACAAAAGGAAGAAAGATAAAGAAAAATGCAGTAGTCATTTGGATCTGTACATGCATTGCGTGATGATTAAAAAACAGTCCACAACTATAATTTTGGCCACATCCTATAGGTTTAGGGTGTTTACAACAGTACCGGATTTGCAATTATAGCTGCATAATTTTCAGTAATATCATCATTCCTTTTACAGAAATTAACCAAGAACTGAATTGTCATAATATAATTCAAAACTTAATGTCTAGGTTTTCATTATCTGTGAGATTCTAGAAGAAAGATAGAAAGCCGTTTAGGTAGAATTGAGGTGGTAGTGTTGGGTCCCAGAATTGATAGAAGTTGAGATAGAAACCTCCATGAAACAATAGTTGCCAAACCACTTGGACTAAGGCACCGCCACTCCAATCATGTTACAGTTTTTTCAAATACCAATCGCTGTACTAAATCTCTGAAGAATCACGTACGCGTCCTAATCACGGTCACTGCAATTTTCCCATTGGATGAGACAATTAATTTAAAATAAATTTAAATTTTCATTAGAAAGAAAAATATTTTAAAATGAAATTTAAAATAAAATAAAATTATCAAGGACCTCTATTTTATTTTTACTTTTTTTTTTTGAGATTCAATTTTAAATGATATAAGAAGAGAAAAAATAATAATCAAATTATTTTAGTGTCAATTAAACTTTTACTTATTTTTTTTAGTATTGCAATTGTATTGCTTTAATTTTTCACGATAGTCACAGTTTTTTGAATAATTTTTTCAAATGTACGATTTTAGTATCTTATGTTTTAATTATGACAATAAATACTTTATATTTTGTAATTTTGCATTTTTTTAATTTTGAAATATATCATAGGTAAATTATCCCAATCGATAAAGAAATAAAATTGTACAATGTTATATGTGAAAACTAAGAATTACATTTAGCACAATTAAAAACTGTGTGGCTAAATTGTACCATTGATACATAAGAAACTAAAAGTTCTTTTATATATATATATATATATATATATATATATATATATATTAATCGTTTGTATCTCGTTAAATATAAACAGCAGTACTTACTTCTTATTATAACATATATTGCCGTTCAATTTTAGTTTTTTTGGGTAATAAAACATACATCTTAGCATATAAAAATTAGGATGTGAAAATTAAATCAATATAAGAAATGCATGTAATTAGTTGTAAAATATTGTTGATTGGATTAAATAATATATTATTATTATTAGATATGAAAAAATCTAAAAAAATATAATAAGATAAAACAGGTTTATAATTACTTGAAACTTTTAATAAAAGTTATATTTAATATTTTTATACGACATTAAATGACATAGAAAAAAAAAACTTCAAATCAGGATTTCCACTATTAATTTTGAAGTAAAATAATATATTTTTAATAAATAATAAAATAATATAAAAAAAGTGAAAAAATTGTCTAAAAGAAATTTTGAGAAAAAAAAAGTTTAGTATCTTGAGATTGAGTAGAAGAAGACTGATGATGTAACAAATGGTTTGTGTTTGTTGGGATATGTGTCACTGCATTGTCTTTCTTATGTTTTGTCTTCCATAAATTAGTTTGTCGGATCATACGCATGCCCTTTCATTTGTCCACTGCTTTTATGCTTTATGTTTACGAAAAAAGTTTTCATTCTCTTTGTTTTTTTTTTTAATTAATTTAAAATATAATGTAGCTGTAATTATAATTTAAAGTAAAAAACAGTAGCTCTATTAAACTTTTTTTTTTGAAGTTAGTAGGTGTATGTGTTCATTTGTTCTTCATTTCTTTATTTTATCCTCATACGAGTTAAGTAGGGTTGTTAGATTGTTATAAGGCTCACATTTTAATTGAACACTGTTTTAAAAATATTATTTGTATTATTACTTTCAACAATTGGCATTAGAACTTTGAAAAGGCCTGATTATTTTAGTAAATCTTGGCATTGATATATGAGTGAGGTGGATAAAAAATGAGTATATTATGATCCAAAAATGATTCCTATATATAAAGGACAAAAAATTGTATAAACCATTTAAAAAAATAAAGAGAGAAAAATGAAATAAATTTCTTTATAAACTAAAAGTAACTTATAAAAAAATTTAGAGAAATGATCCGAGAGAGATTTTACATATTAAATTATAAATAAGCTTTTTTTATTTACAAAGAGACTTATCTGTTTATTTTTTTATGTAAATATTCATAAAAAATTGCTCAAATTATATTTATTAAATAAATACACATTATCAAACAACACCTTTTGATGAGAGAGATAAAAAAAGCACTTGAAGATTTGTGTAACCATCAATCTCAGAGTTTAATGATCATTTATCAAAGAAATGTTGACACCAATTAAGAGGGAATTACAAAAGTAAAAGAAGAAACAACTTTGACTCGTGAGTAGTTAAAGCAAAGATTAGACTAAAGGATCTAAAACCAAAGAATCACTTCTTTAGAGTAATTGACTGGTTTTTTTAGACCATTTTCAAGAAAGGACATTACCAAAGACATAAGCAAAGTTTGTAAGACCAATAGAGTTAAAAAATGCTTTGTTACAACCTCCTTTTAAAGAGTTTGAATACAGATAGAAGTTAAGAGAATATGTTAGCAACTCATGCGAATGTGACTTCTAAGTTTTCATACATCATCATATATCTCTCTTACAATCTGTTTATTTTTTCATTAACTCATCAAGCTGAGGAACAACTTTATTTCTTGTGGAGGGTTTTATAAAGGAAATCGTAATAGAACTATTTTGACCGTTTATACCATTTGTATCAGTTGATTCTTCAATTGAATTAATTTCCTGTACAGTGCATATACCTTTCATTGAAAACATCATAAATGTAAAATGTAATGCAACGAGCAAAAAAATGTAAAATATGCATAAAAAAGAAAAAAGTAATTTGACCAGCACTCTAAATTTAAGTAGATTGTGATGTGTTTTTCCCCCGAAAAAGTAAGCCCAAATTTTGGATCTGTAGTTCAAAATAGCAATGAGTTGGGCTAATAAGTTTTTTATTCTGCAATAACATTGACCCAATCTTCTGCAACTTAAGTTAAGAATTAAGATTGCTTTTACTCTTAAATTTGAGGCCAACGGATGCATATATTGCAAGGGATTCACAATTGTCCCAGTTCATGAATGTTGTTGCTTATCCATTTCGCACTCTAGAAAGTAAAATTCACAGGGCCTGCATTAACCAAAGTGGCAATACGAACTGTTCATATGCAATTGTGGATTGCATAAACAAAAAGTTCCTTATGGCACTACCAAGCTGCATTGGTGGTAGATTGTTGTGTTAGAATCATTGAAATTTATTCACTTTATATTATGGATGAATAAGTGTTTGGTGTGTGTAGGTTGCCATTGCCATTAGTAACAGTGTCTCTCAAGCCACAGTCCATAAACAGTTTTTTACTACACAAACAGAACAATTCAAATAAGCTGTTACATGCTAAAACAAAAGATTAAATTTTATTCTCGAAAAGCCACAAAATGTACCCAAACTCGAAGGGACTCAAGTTTGAAGACCTTTAACAAAGAGGGAAGCAAAGGTCTCCATTGTTGTTTTCTTGGACACAAAACCTATCTCAATTCCTTCTCCATTGTTGCTACTTGAAAGACTAATCACTGCAGTTCTTTCAATGGACACCGTCTCCACCTTCTTTGGTCTTCCCCAACCAAAGTCACTACTATAAGCCTCAAAACTCGCTGACCCTGCAACTCCAATTGTCTTCGCATCAGCTTCACCTCCCACACCATCAAGCAACCATGATGACCAATTTTCAGCTCCATTCAGAACACCATCCTTCTTCACAGTTTCCAAAGCTTCACTTAGTGCTTCCACAGCCACAATTAGTCCATCCTCCCCCAAGAATTCACTTTTTTCAGCAAATGCAAGTTTTAACCCAACACAGTTCCCAAAATAGGTCGGAGGAAGAGGTGGCTCCAAACAACCCCTGCAATCCACAGTCAGAATCAACGTAACTCTCTTGTTTTCTATTTCCTCTGCTCTCACCCTGCAAACCCATGCATAGGCAAGAGACAACGCAAACGTTGACAAGTGAAGGTTGGTGCTCTTCCCTCTGTGCTTGGACAAAACAAAGTGCTTCAGCTTTTCAATATCTGAACTAGACAATTGAAATAAGCCTCCAGTTGCATGTTCCGGAGCTTGCACATCCCAAACCAGGAGGCTTCTGTTGTTAAATCCTCCCTGCTTTAACCAATTATTAACGAATTTTCCCCCTAATTGGTTGGGGTCTTTTACTAACATTCTTTCATAGAAAGGACATAGTTCAGGTGGCAAACAAGGGGATGTGTGTGATTCTCTACAAAGATAAGCCCAGGATTTGATAAACGATGTTGAAGTATTGCCATCAAGAACAGCATGGTGAGAGGTTATTCCAATGGAAAATCCAGACTTTGGAAATAGAGTAACTTGCAAGGCTAAAAGTGTAGCTTGTTCATGGGATACGGTCAAGTGAGGTAAAAGATGGTGCATTTTTTCAGTTTCGCAAAGATCCGAGCCAGCTAGATGGTTGAAATCAGCATCAGATTCAGCTACTGTGAGAGAAACGATGTCACCGGTTTTGTAATTGATGATGGGGTTTTGGGAGTGAAGGGGCCAAGTGAGGTGGCCTGCAAGAGGAAAGAAGTGGCCTAGAGCAAGAGAAAGAGAGTGTATGAGTTTGGGAAGAAGGGTATGGAAGAAGGGTGGGGTTGGGTGAGAGAATTGGTAGAAGAGGATACGTTGAGTAGGAGGTGACCTTAACCATAGTATGTCAAAGAAGGTGAGGGGAAGCGATGTCTGAGTTGGTAATTCTTCTGATTCCAAAGTTGGTGCTACACTGAAAACTTGTACCACATGCATGGTTTCTTTCCTGTTGCTTGGTCCAAAACAGAAAAAAGAAAACTGATGCAGGTGGTTATGTCTCCTGATTCTCTAACTTGATGGCATTACTTATTAATTGAAACTCAGATTTTATTCTCTGCATAATGAGCCGTGTAATTGTACATAACTTTTTATACATTTCCATCTATTATATATGATTAACCTTCTATGATGAAAGTCTCTCCCCGCCTTCCCCTCACACCCCCACTTCACAGGTGTCAATTCCTCGATAAAAACGTGTCAAGTATATAACAACTTTTTCCCACCCTCAGTGTACGTGTTGGGAAATCACAAGATGATCTGTGCAGTTCCTATTGCTTGTTCACTTATTCTAAGTTTATTTTCTTTTCGAATTATACTACTTTTTGAAGTTTTTAAACGTGTCTTTCCCACTGTATATGACTTATATCAAATCTGTTAAATCTTTAAATATCATCGTCGGAAACTGTGTAATGCCATAATTGTATAAAATTACAAATAAGATAATACTATCAACAAGTTAAAATCAGCAGACAAACAAATCTCGATTCATCTGAAGTGGTTCCAAATGAAGAACATGTTGCATGCTTTCCTTTTAAATAGCTTAGTGTATTAGTGTCTTGCTCAAAACTTATTTGGTCATTTTATCGAAGGTGTTGCTTTTACAATTATTGCATTATAGATTTAACAGAATAGAAGGCCCAATGGCGTATGGCCCAAGATATTAATATCACTATACCAAAAATAAAATGAATTAAGTCTGGACGGTGTTCATCTAAATAATCACGGGTTAGTTAATAGTTTCAACCATAAGTCTATCTTAATTCATTCCGATTAACGCATCAACCTAATGGGCCAAAAGTAGATAGATGGACCGTCCAACTTTAAAAAATAATATATTAAAATTAAATAAAAAATATTATAATTAAAAATATATTTTTTATATCATATTATTTAAATATGTAAATATATTATAATTTAAATTATAAAAATTAATCAATTAAATTTAAATTATTAATTATTTTAATATATAAATATAATAATTTTTCAATTTATTTAATAAAAATATTAATTAATAAATAAAAACATAAAAATTATTCATATAATTAAAAATATATTTTAAAAAAAATACATATATATAAAATTTATAGGTAAGATTCACCATTAACTTATCATTTAACACAATGTAATGAATTCAAAAATTCGTCGTGATTACGGAAGATCATCTCTCTCTTTCTTATTTAGTAGGTTAGAAGCAGCAAGTTAAAATGGACGGACAGACTTCTTATTTTATCTAATTTTTATTAGAAACAATTTTAAATTTTAAATGTATATCTTCTTGTATGTTAAATTTGTCCAATTTAAAAAACACATTTTTTTCCTTAAAACAACACATAACACCAAATTAATGTCCAAATTTCAGTAATTTATCTAATTTACATTATTAATTTTCTTTGACCAACCGTACTAGAATAGATGGAGAATGTTAGTGGATAATCTATGTCATTCGCTTTTATTATAAATGGGTTGTTAAATATTTAATTTTTAAACTTGGATTTTCAAAAAGTATATCTTTCATACTTAAAATGTAGTTTTTTTTTCATATAAAAAAAATGCTTTGTAAAAGAAAGATATGAATATGTTGCTCTGATAGAATTATTTGTCCTTTTATTGATCATATTTTTCTCTCTCATTTTTTAATTGATTTGACGTACATTCTTATTTAAAAGTAAATATTTTTAAATTATAAAATATATTAGTTTATTTTATTTTTTTATGTAGACATTTTAAAATATTTATTCAAATAAGTTCATTCTGCTTTCACACAGTTTAAATATAACCACAAAATAATAAATAAAACTTTGACAAAAAAAAAGTGATAAAAAAATTCTAAAATGCGAAAGTGTATATAACTTACTGAAATAACAAATGTTGAACGTACATAATATGATGAGAATAGAAAAATGTAAAATATGTAAAGAAAATGAAGTTTTAAAAAGGTAAAATAATTTAGACCAAGCTAAAATTAAAATATATTTATGGTGTGATTTTTCTCATTAAAAAAATAATTATGAAAATATTCTTTTAACTATTATAAATTATTCATCATCCAAAATAATAAGTTAATATAAACAAAATATTATTTTACTATTAAAACTATGGTGTCAAAATAGATTTAATTCAATAAAATTGAACTTAAATTAAAATATATCTATTTTATCTTAATCCATTTAAGTAATAATCTATATAGATTTTATGTGAAGTTAGTTTTAGACCCGTGAACGGATACATTTTATAAAATAATATTATTTTATTAAAAAAATTATGTATTATAAAATAGTATGTTACGTGAGTTACTAAAAAATTGAAAAAATTATTTATAATTAAAATAAAATTATTTATATAAATAATTATGAACAAATTTTAAGTAATTTATTTATGTATCTAAAATAAAATATTTATTTTTATTCTAAATAACTTTTGTTAAAAATTTTCTTTAGATATTTTAAATTAAGTTGAGAATGAATTTATTTTCTAAAAATAAATATCATAAGAAATATCTAGTAATAATTTATTTAATATCTAATAATTACGATTAATTACTATATTAAATTAATAAATTATTAAAAAATAAATTATGATAATGAATAATAAATTTTTTAATTTTTATTTTAAAAATAAATAATTATATATTTTTATAATTTATATATTAAATTATTATATTTTAAACAATAATTAATTTTTTAAAATAATTTAAATTAAAAAAATAATTTTATTTAAATAATTTTTTAATTAATTTTATTGTATAAATATGTTAATATTTAAAAAAAAATCATCAAAGCAAATTTGACCTGTTACCTAATATACTATAAAATTTAACCGTTTTAAATATAAACAAAGTTATGTCATTAACACTACTACAGAATGATCATTCAACGTCAGGTGTGGAAGGCATTCAACGTCGGTTCCAATGACGTCGTTGATTCAGACGTCATTGAATGTCAAAGGATTCTACGTCGGTTCAGAATACCCGACGTTGAAAGTGATATATATCTACGTCAGTTAACCAAATGTCCGTCGTAGAAATTAGTAAATTCTACGTCGGTTATTGAACTAACCGACGTTGAAAGTCATTTCTCGCTCAAGCGACCGGTGAACTCGCTTGAGCGATGAAGCCTTCAAACAAAGGGGACTCTCGGGTTACTGTATCGCTCAAGCGACCTCTGTATCGCTCAAGCGGCCAGAGCGTTACAACGTCGGTTAATGCAATAACTAGACATAGAATATCCCTTTTTTTTTAAATGTAGGTACTGTTTTAGTGCCACCAACGAGTACACGACCTGCTGTAATCTCGATCCAGACAGGTATATTTATTTCAGCTAATCACTAATATATAAAATGATAGATATATATGTCAAAATCAGCCAAATTATGTACAAAATACACAAAAAATTATCAATCAATCCTATTCCTAACTACTTGTACAAACTTTTTCGCCCATTTGTTTCTAACCATGTCTATAGTATCCATAGACAAAGGTTCTATATCTTTAAATGCTTGTAAGAAGTTCACAATAATAGAATGGTAAACCCTAAGCAATAAAAATAAAGGAATTGAATATAATAGCAAATGTCAACTTACCTCATTCCAACTATCCCGAATGCTACCAAAAATGATGAGCCACATCCAATACATTACATAGTAGCCGCACTTCGTATCCTCCATTTTGTTTGTTACACTAAAAATGACTAAATATGTTAAAAATAACTATTAAATTTGAACATAAATTAATAGATAGTATAATATATATAAAGGCTACTTACTTTGATAAAATTCCAATTTGGAGCTATGCTTTTACTTGTGTGTTTTCCACCTAATGTACTACAAACCTTTAGAGCACTATATATTGAAAAGAAGGGGGTTAGAAATAGAATAATCAAGATGTTTAGACATAATATAAGAAATACTTACTCGTTTACAATATTTTTTAGCTCCATGTCGGGTTTCCTTCCCAATGAGCGAGAACCAACACACAAGATTCTGCTTTGGACAAATAACTAATAGTGCCAGATGGTTTCTGTATATACACATGATTAGAATCTATTAAAAAAACTTGTGTAAAACCGGAAGAGGTTGGGATAACTTACGAATGATGGTATGCTCCAAGGTAAATATCTCTTTTAGAATCGGTGATCCAATTCGCATGTAACCGAGAATTTGATCACGCTTATTCCCAGACTTTTGTATGGATTGAGGCTCGAAGAATCCATACACATGACCAATGCCCTGCTCCACTATCATTTCGTGCATCATCCTAAAATATGCCAATTTAAGTGAACTTATAGCTTATATATTTACTAAAATGAAAAGAGTCATGAAAGATATGAACTTACAATGTCCAAAATTGTAAAACAGCTATATTTAGACATTGATTGCCCATCCCAATCTCCAGAGCATCAGTGTGGGAAATGTATAGGGGGATATTGCTAGAAGTCATCCCAAATAATGTACAATCCCATGGAACTTGGAATGACTCCAGATACAATTGTGGGGAAAGAGACAAGAGATCAAAAATTGGATTTGGAGAAGTCTCCACAACTGGTGTCTTCTCCTTAGATGCAGAAGGAGTGGCAATAGCTTTACCCAAGTCTTTTGGCTGCCGAACATCCTACATATTTTATAAAATATAATCATAAACAATAAATCAATTTATTTATGTGTTAGATGTATTATAACCATACATATACATACCTTTGTCATTATTGACCTAACTAAATGTCGGGGTCAAGTAATGAAGGTCTGAAGGGCTTGGCCCACTGTCTGCACCTCTTCAGTGGGGATAGGGACACTAGCCGCAACGTCAACCACATTTTCAACCACTACTTTGACCAAGTTAGGATCCAAAGGCACATTGTGGATGGTTGAAGCCCCTTCATGAACTGATCCATGGGCCACTAGCCTTAGACCTTCATCTACCTCAACCCACAAGTCATATCGAT